AAAACCGAATTGAGGCTTCCCAGCACTTAAATACAGCCAATACTTCGATGTGCCCATGTTCCAAAAATCTGGATTCTCAGGAGGATTATTGTCCCAAAATTGGAACATTTTGGAACATAGGTAACATTGGTTCTAGACATGCAGTGATTCCCAAACTTGGTTTGAGTGGTCATAGGACCAATATAAACACTTTCCGACCAATTTTAAACCGTTCTGAGCATTTTTAGGACAATATTCATTTTTGTTCATTTTCGTTCATTCCATGAACCTGGGTAATGTTATTTGAGTTTTGATGGCTCTTAGGCTTAGTTTTTACCTATATCCATCTTAGAAAACCGAATTGAGGCTTCCCAGCACTTAAATACAGCCAATACTTCGATGTGCCCATGTTCCAAAAATCTGGATTCTCAGGAGGATTATTGTCCCAAAATTGGAACATTTTGGAACATTGGTAACATCGGTTCTAGACTTGCAGTGATTCCCAAACTTGGTTTGAGTGGTCCTAGGACCAATGTTAACACTTTCCGACCAATTTTAAACCGTTCTGAGCATTTTTAGGACAATATTAATTTTTGTTCATTTTCGTTCATTCCATGAACCTGGGTAATGTTATTTGAGTTTTGATGGCTCTTAGGCCTAGTTTTTACCTATATCCATCTTAGAAAACCGAATTGAGGCTTCCCAGCACTTAAATACAGCCAATACTTCGATGTGCCCATGTTCCAAAAATCTGGATTCTCAGGAGGATTATTGTCCCAAAATTGGAACATTTTGGAACATAGGTAACATCGGTTCTAGACATGCAGTGATTCCCAAACTTGGTTTGAGTGGTCGCAGGACCAATATAAACACTTTCCGACCAATTTTAAACCGTTCTGAGCATTTTTAGGACAATGTTCAATTTTGTTCATTTTCGTTCATTACATGAACCTGGGTAATGTTATTTGAGTTTTGATGGCTCTTAGGCCTAGTTTTTACCTATATCCATCTTAGAAAACCGAATTGAGGCTTCCCAGCACTTAAATACAGCCAATACTTCGATGTGCCCATGTTCCAAAAATCTGGATTCTCAGGAGGATTATTGTCCCAAAATTGGAACATTTTGGAACATAGGTAACATCGGTTCTAGACATGCAGTGATTCCCAAACTTGGTTTGAGTGGTCGCAGGACCAATATAAACACTTTCCGAGCAATTTTAAACCGTTCTGAGCATTTTTAGGACAATGTTCAATTTTGTTCATTTTCGTTCATTACATGAACCTGGGTAATGTTATTTGAGTTTTGATGGCTCTTAGGCCTAGTTTTTACCTATATCCATCTTAGAAAACCGAATTGAGGCTTCCCAGCACTTAAATACAGCCAATACTTCGATGTGCCCATGTTCCAAAAATCTGGATTCTCAGGAGGATTATTGTCCCAAAATTGGAACATTTTGGAACATAGGTAACATCGGTTCTAGACATGCAGTGATTCCCAAACTTGGTTTGAGTGGTCCTAGGACCAATGTTAACACTTTCCGACCCATTTTAAACCATTCGGAGCACTTTGAGAAGAATGTTCATTTTCGTTCATTTCTGGTCATTCCATGGGTAATTTTATGCGACTTTTGATGGCTCCTAGGCATAGCTTACGGCTATATCCATCTTAGAAAACCGAACTGAGCCTTCCGAGCACTCAAATACGGCCAATACTGCGATGTACCCATGTTCCAAATTTATGGATTCATCTACTGTCTAAATCCATGGCGCGGTCATTACAATTGTGAGATCAGTCGCGCTAAGCACGTACGTTTTCACGGCTGATTGTGTAGATTTCAAGCTCAGTGGCTGAGAGTGAGACAGCGCACCAGTGGAGTGGTTGTTAAACCACGCCGGGAAGTCTTGTGGCGAACCTCTTCTGAGACTCAAGAACGGATGTCAATTAGAGTCAAACTCGATGTAAATGTAGCGTTATTAAAGTGGGCAGAACTTAAGTTCATTGTGTATTAAAATGTATGTGCTGACCCCACACTAACATAAAACGCCGATTATAGCATATACAGGGTCATCTTGCGTATGCCGATCATGAGGGCTTTCGACCTTTATGTTTAAACATTTCAAAGAAAAGGAAAGGAATTACACCAGAGTAATTATTTCCAATGCTCTCAAATTCATGTAAGATTGATGGAAGGGAAAGCAGGAGACTGGACTCAGGAGGTAGCCAAATATCACTGACGCGATGTGAATGGGCTCCTAGTTCCTAGTCCTACTGCATTTTAAGAAGTTACCGCTTTGTACTGCAGGCAGCAAGGCTAATCTATTTCCACGGTTATTTTATTGTGTAATAAATTGAATTTATTTATCATTTTGGAGACACATGCTATCCCATCATGTACATACTTTATAGAAGGAGCAATTATGCTCTACATTTTGGTTAACTGAGAGCTCGAGTCGTAGGAATTATCATTTCCGGTTATTCGGTTTCAAATTTAAGTAGAGTTATTTTATCCAAATACGATGCTGTTGGCTGTATGTACACTACTAGAAATTACAATTACAGCACTAAACATGACATTTTGTGGAGACGAAGGACACGTTTACTGTTAATTTTAGTCAATATAAATTACTGCACCAACAGCAATCAAGAGTTGCATAAAATAACATAAACACAACATATCAAAAGAATTACTTCTTACGAATTATGAACAAGGGAAGAAGTATATCTGAGCAAGGCTGAAACAAACCTGTTCAATTTATGCTATTCAGTAAAATTGTAACGCAACTAAAGCATATTAAAGAATAGGTCGAGGGATCTTAAAGGCGGATAATAAAGTATATATGTGAAATTTTGTACACTAAAATAGCATCAAACAATTTTATTTTGGACATTATTTAACACCGAATAAAAACTCACAAAAAGCTGCCCATTAGGTGCAATCCATATAAATGGCATTCCGTTAAGCGCAATTGGAATAATAACAAACTAGAGATGAAAGAAAATAGATTCTAAAATACATTAAGCATTGCTTCAAATTGTCCTGTCCATAATTTGAAGCTGTTCCGTCCTCTCTTTCCTGGGAGCCCTCCATCGCTGAGTTTCTCTCTGACTCATTGAGCATATTTCTTTACCCATTCTCTAGCTGAAATAAGTTTCTTTGTGATGATCGAATAGGCCCTAATTAGTAACGAAAGATACATTAGCCCCCAGCTCAACCGTAGCTTCCAAATATAATATTAAATAAAAGAGCTGCTTGATTTTAGACTTGTTTTACAGCTCAATTCGTCTAGGCCGGGGCTCATTCTTTCATCGCCTTAGTTTGAGAAGATCTGTTAGAAGAATAGTACAGCGTAAATGACTGCAGTAATGGTATCTATTAATAGGATCAACTAGCGCCCGACCACTTTCTAGCTTACCCGGATGCATGCTCATTGCATCGTTCAAACGAGTGGACACTGGTCGAAAGACACTAGCCGAAACTTAAAAACTGGATCGTTTTTTTTCGGTGCTGGCGGCCGCGCGGCCGGAAAAATCTGACTGTGTGCGCGGGATAGTTAATGAAAAAGATCTCGGCGCGTTCCTGTAAAGTAGTGTATCAGAACAGTTTTCTGGCAACTTTTGTCCCATCCATAACCATGGCTGTAAAAAGAACAAAAAAGGAATCCGCCTTTGTCAGCAGTCAGTTCTTGCTTCGAAATTTAATCACTTCTACGAACGCATATTTATCATGAGCATAAAAGATATACTGATGATGTAGAATAGAATTGAATCACATGTAATGTACGTTGTCACTATACTTCATAAATGCCTGGCCTCATTGCTCTTAAGTAATGATCAAATGTACATTGTATATGATACTCCAAATACACCACTTGATACCCGTATATTGTGGGATAGACGGTTACCGCCCACGCGCGAAAGTTGATTGGAAATACATTAGCTGTAATGTGTCATGTTACACGTGTAGGGATGAATTGTATAATGTATCACGTATACGTAACCATCGTAATCATATTACATCATGATTTTATCACATACCTACCAGTATGAAGTACCAGTGTAGCATATGCTAACTGTGTGAAGTAGTAAAGAGCCCGAGTGACATTGGAATGTTCTACCGCGAGAATATACTGCGCTGCAGTTGATTTAACGAAAAAGGCGAGCAGAAAACTGGGAAACTGTCAACTAAACTGTTTGGTGAGGTTAACCATCTTTCTATAAGGGATCACGTGGAATATAATAGTGAAGTAATATTTAAAACGCTTCCCATCCAATTCTAGGAAATTATGACCTGGGTAAATGCTAACCAACTAACGACTGTACCGTAATGTATTACTGTGGGAACTCAGTTTTTTCACTGTACGCAAAAAAAAGATACACAAATTGATGGGGGTCGGGGGGGGGGGGGGGGGGGGGGGGCCGGGGGCGGAGGGGGGGGGGGGGCGGGGGTTAGCTGCTTTAAGGTTTAAAAACAGCGATGCCCATGCGAATTTAACCAAATGTTTGTGGCAGCAATGGATTGATATTAATATTTGATCGAGCTAGAAATATGCTGTATACATATTACATAATATAATACATAATGATATTGTGGTTATACACTCTTATAATTGTAATTATCTCAAAATGCCATTCACTGAGTTTCTCCTAATTATGGAGTAAACTCCGGTTTTACTGATGCTAAATTACTAAGATTATTGATCCACTTACAAAGTGGAATGCAGTGCCATGACCAAAAAAGTCCACTACACTACTCTACAAAGATACTGAACCAAGTTTTATATGAACGTTTGTTCGGCAGGATATGATACTTTTTTTTTTATTGAAATCTTTCAAATCAGTCAATTACATACAAGTTTACACAATGAATTAGTTAAATATAATATTGTCCTCTAAGCATGGATTGTCAAAGTTGAAATTGTCTCGGACAAAATGTATGTAACCAAAGGACCTGAGGGTCACCAAAACACAGATATTGAGTGCAAATGCAGCTCCTGCACAAGCATGGGCCCTTATAAAATTGTAATAAGTTACTTTAAACAAAATCACACACCCATTCAATCAATTCATAAAATATTGTGCTGTGAGATGAAATTGAGAAATATGTGAATGCAGACAGCAAGAATAGATACTCTTGAATAAACTATTTTACGGATTTGTTTCTATTGAATAGTCAAGTTCAGAGTCCGAATCCACCGGGATAATTTTCCCCCACATGTAAGTGGAAAGTTTACTTTTAAAATCAGTGATACTCTCTATCTCACGGATATCTAGAGGAATGTGATTCCACTTAGTGTGGGTCCTATAGAAGAAATTCCTGGCAAAAGCGTTGAAATGTTGCCCTCACAGTATAGTGAACATGTTAGATTAATTCCCTGCAGGCTTTTCGTATAAGACTTGAATTTTCTAGCTCACAATCTTAGCTTTACACAATTAAAATGCACACGTAGTTTCCAAGCCAAGAATCATTTTACATCAAATTTAAAGTTTGATAGTTCCCTCCACTACCCCTCTCCAGAGGGAACAGTCCCTTCTTCACCACAGGGAAGGTTACTCAATACTACAGCCTTCTTCGTCGTCCTTATCGACACAGTCCGCACCACCGTCACAAACCCAGTGAATTGGGATAACAGCGCTCCCGTCACGACAAAAGTAACGAGATGGAATATACTCAGTGCAGTTCTCCTCGTCATCTCCGTCAGGACAATCCGTGATGTTGTCACAGACCCATTCCTCGGGGATAGTTTTACTTGCACCATCACAGCTGTACTGTGCTAGGTTTGGGCAGTTTATCTCATCTTCTGCGAACGGGCAATCAAAAATGTTATCACAGACGTATGCCTCTACGATTTTTCTTCCGTCACTGCATTCGAAAAAGTTCTCTTCTTCAGTCCCTTCTTCACCACAAAGGATAGGGTACTCCATACAGCCTTCCTCGTCGTCGTTATCGACACAGTCAGTGTATTCGTCACAAACCCAGTACATTGGGATAGCAGCGCTCCCGTCACGACAAAAGTAACGAGACGGAATATACTCAGTGCAGTTCTCCTCGTCATCTCCGTAAGGACAATCCGTGATGTTGTCACAGACCCATTCCTCGGGGATAGTTTTACTTGCACCATCACAGCTGTACTGTGCTAGGTTTGGGCAGTTTATCTCATCTTCTCCGAATGGGCAATCAAGAATGTTATCACAGACGTATGCCTCTACGATTTTTCTTCCGTCACTGCATTCGAAAAAGTTCTCTTCTTCAGTCCCTTCTTCGCCACAGAGGATAGGGTACTCCATACAGCCTTCCTCGTCGTCGTTATCGACACAGTCAGTGTATTCGTCACAAACCAAGTACATTGGGATAGCAGTGCTCCCGTCACGACAAAAGTAACGAGACGGAATATACTCAGTGCAGTTCTCCTCGTCATCTCCGTCAGGACAATCCGTGATGTTGTCACAGACCCAATCCTCGGGGATAGTTTTACTCGCACCATCACAGCTGTACTGTGCTCGGTTTGGGCAGTTTATCTCATCTTCTCCGAATGGGCAATCAAATGAGTTATCACAGACGTATGCCTCTACGATGTTTCTTCCGTCACTGCATTTGAAAAAGTTGGAGTCGTCCACTTCAACTGGTGGATCCACAAGGTTTACGTTGCGTTTCAAGATGTCAGGGTGACCATCATACCATGCTTGCAGGCATTGTACGGTGAAAAGTATCACTATTAAGAAGACTAGGAGGTTCATTTAGCAGCCAACAAGGTAGATTAAATGTATTAAAACAGTTTACTGAAGGTGGAAAATGGCAAAAGATTCGGTTACTGCGTGCAGTGCGTCTAAAACACCTTCCAAAATTGAAATTTGAACGACATTTACAGATACTTAACACTTGCAGCAGAACCCAATATTTTATGCAAAAGCTAAACAAATTGGTGTTTAAAATCAGTTTGAAAGTTAATATCCTCATGTCACATTTAGCAGGCGTATAAACGATGGTGAACTTTAACCTTTAAAGTATTTCGTTTCTCATTCCTTTCATCGATTACACAGTACACACGTCACACACTCTCACTCATTGTCACCATGACAATGGGTAAAACTTACTGGCTGTTAAAAAATTGATCACATAACAGCGTATAAATTTTGCACCCCCACCTCATAAAATTAAAAGCTATTTTCATATATAAAACTAACCTGTGGAGATGGCAGACATCTCATCTCTCTTCCAATGCTCGGCGACATCGTTTGCGAGGGGATCCTCGTGGTTTGGCTTACTTAGAAGAGCCTGGATGCTGAGCAGGACGGTTCTGATCTGCAGGGCAGGGCTCCACTTCTCTGAGACATAAAATGTGGTTAAAGTGGTAAAACATCAGAGTGGTAAATGTGGTCAGAATCGCAGACCTACTGCCTACATCGAAATTAAACGTAAATCATTAAATTTCTTAAGGGACTGTTTGCTGTAGATGTCAAAATCAATGGGAAAGATATTAAATTCAGTACAATGGTATCATGACATCGACCGACATTGACACATCAGAAGTAATGTTAAGACCCTTAAAAGGAACAAGAGAGAATGTTAGAATTCACAAACCTTTGAGGATGTCAAGACATATTCTTCCCAGCTTGTCTATGTTGGGGTGATAAATCTTTGTGAGGAGCCGAACCTTCGGGGCAGACATGGGGTACTCTTCTGGTAAAAACAACTCCAGCTTAAACTTCCCTCCCTCGTAAGGCGACTGAAAAGTGAAAAATAGTACATTACTTAGAAACTGCTAGAATATTTTTATACAATATTTATATAGACATTATTCTTTTTTGAATAGTTTTCGCACATTTCAAGGAATGATAATTATTACTGAAGAGATTAACAAAATATGTAGCTTGCCGTGAAAAGAACGTTTTTAGTCTTTCAACGAATTTAAACACCCCCTTCCCCCGTTCATTTCACTACAATGCTTCTTAATTGACAATGTTGATACAATGCTACTTCACTACAGCTTGTAAAATATGATTATCAGCTATGTTATGAGCGTGTGTCCTGTATTTTAATTATAGGTCAGTTGTAGCCTGTATACGTGTAATCCTCACATTACTAATTATTACTGATACACACTTGTAACGATCGTGACCTCCCACGTTGAAATTGACGTTACATGTATCAGTGTCTGCAAGTTAACTATTTTCGAATTTCAAGGAAGAAGTCATAGACAAATAATAAGAAATTAGAACTATGAAATTTGGAGGCATTGAAAAAGTCCCATTTCTTATCGAAATATACGTCGTTTAAATCTCAAAAGTGATGAAGTGTAATAGTTAAGTTATCTTTTTATTTACCCCTCCTGGCCCATCAATGACGACGTGGAAATGCCGAGCATTCGTCTCATTGACGATAGCTTTGATTCCGTCAATATTTTCTGACTGTAGACGCATCGTCTCCTGCAATTAAATCATGATTATTCAAATCACTTTAATAAACTTGCGTTGATGATGGAAATGTAAAATCTGGCCCTAACGAGATATCAGTTTAAAGAGTAATATATTAAACTAAAAATAGAACGGTAAGATATAAGAGTCTTAATTCTACATCTCGTCCAAGAATATGTTGACTTACTTTAATGATTCGACGAGGAAGTTCTGCCATCCTGTATAAGCAGCTGTCTTTCTAAATGTTAGATTGTGTTAAAATGGCGAAGTAAATATCAGATTCAAAATATATTAACGATATTACAAAATATATTAACTCTTACAGTTTACACCATAAATTATTCCAAGATTCAGGTAAGCTGCTTAATTAAATTTTCGTTATAGACCTACATTTTCAATGCGTATGTAAGTCCGATCAACAACTAAGTTTTGTAAGACTTGTCGTTATCTCAAGCCCATATCATAAGTCATTTAAAGATGATTAATAATAATTATAATACAATTAGCAGAAATCAGAAATGAGAAGTGTCATTTGTCAGATTGAATTTTAAAGGAATGTGAATTTTCGAATCACTGCCTCCACTTTTAAGTGTACGTTAAGTTGACCAACAATGTATGGAAGCCGGTGTTGCTCGACTAGAGACCCCGACTGGAGGCCTCCAATATAGGACTGTGAATGTAAGATTCGAGAGCATGGCAGCTCTAACTAATGAAGAGGGAAGCTGAACGGGATGAAAAAAGATTTTCAATTTCTTGTCCCGTTTCGCTATTCTTACCATCGGAATTTCTCATTTAAATGGCGACCACTATTTTTAATGTAGAGGAATTATCCATTGTCTCACCATTATACACATTTTCTAATCATTATACACTGCAACAGTATCATATTTAAATCGCATAAAACATAATTACATAATTGAATCATACAAAAGATACAACTATACAGTATACTAGAAAGCCCGTGGTCACAGAGAGGAAGCTAATAGTATTCTTTGGTAGTCAGTTTTTAAACGCATCAAAAAATATCTGTCACAACCGAAGATACAGCCGATTAAAATGTAGCTCGCACTGAACACCACGTAATTACCACAAAACCGATCAAAATGTCGCTCGCAAATCTTTGCACGTGCATGTGCGCTTTTGAACACCATTACCATGGTTACTATGCAGCTTCCTATTCTCATATAATTTGCACGTGGGCGGTCGTACAGACAGACAGAATAATTCTCTGAATTATAATATAGACTAGAAAGCCTGTGGTAACAGGGACGAAGCTAGTATGAAGTAGTATTCTTTGAAAGAAAGTTTTAATCGTATCAAAAAATATCCATCCTAGATACTGGCGATAATAATACAATCGACACTCTAAACACAACGTAATTACCACAAAATCGATCAAAATGTCGTTCGCAAATCTTTGCACGTGTGCGGTTGTACAGACAGACAGAATAATTCTTTGAATTATAATAATGATAGCTATAGATAGCTAAAAATAGTTGGTATTTTCAAAAATAAAAGTTGTAAGCTTTTGTATAAAAACTGTGTACAATGATCAAAATAATACGTAATTTTAAAATAAATCCACTAACATCAATCAATATCGAGACCATGTCAGCAACCACAGCCTGTACGGTGATCTTCCCAAAGTCAGCTCCAAGATAACCCAACGAAAGCTCAGACTTGCAGGTCATGCTCACTGACATCCGGAGCTGACACTGAACCAACTGATCCTCTGGAAGCCGAGTCATGGGCATACTAACAGGGGGCGACCTCACTTAACACTACTAGATAACCTAAAAGCAGATACTGGGCTGAAGTCAGTAGATGAGATAGCTAGACTGATGGAAGACAGAAAGCTGTGGAGAACTGTTGTCAATGGATCTCGGGAATACTACCCGCCTTAAGTCAAGTAAGTCAAGTCCACTACATACGTTAGCAAATTCAGTTAACAATCAGTTATTGACATGAACAAACAATTCTGGTAAAAGTTTAGCACTGTTACTCAGGAGCCAGTGTCTTCGGAAATACGGCTCAAACTTGCCCACAATATTTTCAGAACTATCTGTAAAACAGTTAGCCCCCCATCTCCAAACAGTTTTATCAGTGCTGACCTCAGGTTTACCGCTCCAAGACACAGGAAAATATCTCCACCTGTTTTGAGATGATCGGAAACATTTCAATGCAAAAAATGCACTGTCAATGGAAAAGCGGACTCCACAATAATGTACGTTACTAGGGTACTCATGGGGGTCCAATACAAATTGAATATCAAACATGGAACCATCCTCTGTAGTACACGGAGTCAGCTTTGCTATGACACCACACCTACCCTCTTTACTGCAAGGTTTGATTGTGGTAGAATTTTGGGTATCAATGATAAATTCAATTTCTTGTTCCTGTAACAGGAAATCTTCTGAATTCCATTCCTGAGATGAAGAAAGACGTAATTGTCCTTCTGTGGTGATTAAATTAGAAGAATTTTCTTTTATCAACCTCAGTAGAGGCACAGTGCCTGCATCTCTTGGCAAATTTTCAAAGTAATTGTTGGAGACTGAATTCCATTTTCGTTTATCCTTCAATGATAGGATTTCAGCAATGAAATTACTATGTATTTTTGTTTCTTTACGATCAAAAAGCCAGCAAAGCAGCCCCTCTATAAACATGTAGAGACTTGAGACTTTTTCTGAGGTAGATAGGAATTCCACAAGATCTTCAAATTTTGTAAAGCTATTTATTGAAGAGGGTGAGTTAAATAAGTTAGAAACTCTTACAAGCCCTTCATCCTTCTTAGTCGAACTGCTGAAAAGTGACAATACAAGTCTAAAGTCCTCAGCTGTGGGATTAGCTATGGCATCTAGAGACTGAATGAGGCGATGTTGAAGATCAGGTTTTCGTCTGAAACAAGATGCTAATTTGAGATTCTGAAGCAAATATCTACAGGTATTACCCAAAACATTGTCATTGGCCACAAGCAAATCTATTATGCAGGTTACAAGTATTTCTGTTTCCTTGCCAGCAATACTGATTGCTAAGTCCAACTGCTTTTTATCAAGAGATGGAGTTCTCATAAAATTTTCCAAGAAAATCTGTTTATATCCTGGGGTACAACTGAATTTCAATACAACTTTGTCCATCAGATTTGTGTTTTGAAACTTAGACATGACATAAAATGCTTCATCGAAAATAAAAAAGAGCTCATCATAACTAAAAATAGGAGAACTGATTGAATTTACAATAGTATCAAAATATTCGGCACATCTATTCTCCATCCAAGATACTTCAAATACTTTTGACATTTTGTTAACCTCCCTCAAGATACCCTTGTTAAGCTTTTTTAGTTTTCCTTCATAACAACCGTCGATGAAGCACTGCACTGCGTCTCTCTCAAAATCTTGGACATCGATAGACTGAAGAGATAGATCGGTTGTGATATGGTCAATCACAGGGCTGTTTAATGATATAATAATGGAGTTGGCTAAGATGTCACTGCCATCCTTGAGATGGAATTTTAAGTTACTGTGGGAGGGACTTCCAAGACGATGGACACCAAAATCAGCTGGGACAGCAACTTTCAGTGGATCATTCTCAGAGCTTGACATGGCATGTATCCTGGAATAATTAATGCCAATAAATTTTAAAATTCAAGGTCAAAGTGAAACAAATATTAGTGAAACAAGTTTGGTAAAGCTCCTATGTTCTATTAGATATAAAGTGGAAATATCAATATTTGAGCATGCAAAAGGTTAGAATCATCAATCATTGCTATCTATTGATCAAATATTTAGTTTTTCGGATCAACATGGCTAAATTTGTTTATCCATGGTGACCTTAGCTTCAGAACACAAGGTCATGCAGTAAGGTTTATAATACTTTCCGGGAATTATATGCACTAAAACCCGTGGACACTGAGAGCTGATAATTTGCAGATATATCCCGCAAGGGAAGCGAAGGTATTATCAGCATAGACTCAGACTGACTGGCGGCAAGTTTCAAAACAAATAACTCTGGCGTTCTATATATTACACACTATATTGTATCATGCGCACGTATCACATTACACCCCTTCCAATCGGAACCGGAAAGTATTATAAAATATAATGCCTTCTCTGTTTCGTGCCCGCGCGTTCCCTCCAGCAAGCTGTCGGGAATTATCACGCTCAGCACTCAGAAGCGAAGGTATTATAGTATTATAATATTGTACCAATATCCTCAATTTCATATGAACATATCCATTACATAATTTTTTCCTGATCCATGACTCAAAGTGCTGAAGGCACAAAAGAGTCAAGGAAAAGGGTTAGCAAACGAGGTTTTTTTTTGTATATGGTAGCTTGCGACCGTGTGTGCGTGCGTACGTGCCCTTGCCCCCAGTTATCGCCTACGTTTCTACCTGCGCAAAGTTATTTTTCACAAGTTAGGGTTTGTGTTTAAATGAGGTTTGTGTTTAAATAGGCTCAATAATATACAAGGGGGTTGTGAATAAGACAAGGGTTACAGGTCAATTTTTAACTTCAAGAAAACAACAAATTTGTATTTAAATCAATTATATAGCAACAATTTAAAAAATTAAAGTTATTCTATTACTAATATATAAGGAATATTCCACGGATATGGTGACTTGGACTATTGAGTTGTACCCAGGAGTCGACCGAGCCGGGATGACCCTCATCCTGGCCGAGACCAGGACTGGGACCGGGAGCGGGATGAAAATAAAAGAGTTGTTTCATTTGTCTAAGTTAAAGTAAAACAATATGAATTTGAAGCTAAATTGGATTAAAAGGATCGAAATTCTGTTTTTAATATCCCGGCTTATATTCCGGCAAAAATGGTAATCCCGGCCTATACCAGGACCGGGACAAGAACACCAAATCCCCGACAAAAACATCATGCCTATGCGTATCAAAATGCCTTAGGGCGTTCTAGAAACAGTTCAGAGCTGTTTTCCTAAGTGCTAAGTCAGCAGACTCTCCTTCTTTAGGAACAGCTTAGCTTAGCTTAGCCTACCCTGAGTAGAGCCAAAGTGAATGTCATGTATGATGGTTATGTCATTATACATTTTATATGGGGATTTAACTGCGTGGGTTCGTTTCTGGTTGTAGGTTTACAACCTACCAGGACGCGCGCCGAGTTGGAACAGATATTTTACGAGTATCACCCGTTAAGTTTCTGGCCATTAATTGATCCGTCGATGGGTTACTAGACATGAAAACATGTGTCTTTCATTGTTAATAATTTGATAGATTTTTCAGTACACCCCAATATGACTTATAAAATAAACATTTGGTTAATGTTCCCTTTAAAATTGTAATGAAGGATGCCTCTAAAAATCCATAATATCTTAACAAGGTCCCTAATAAAGCCCTTTTAATATTTAACACGCTTTCTTCTTGAAACATTCTTTTGTTTTCCTTAATTGACAATCATAACCACCAAATTTAATTGCTATTTTGTAATAGCTTTTATATTTGTAGCACAATGCACTACTGGGCCGCGCCGCGCATCAAATAATTCTTCTCACAACACACAATTAATTTTTCTCTTCGATAGATTGGCGGGATGCACCACTGGGCCTCACCGAGCTGCGAATTGAGGATTGACATCGTGAATCAACTTTTATATGTTAATATTATAATAGACTAACAAGGGCGCGGGCGGCTTTGCAGCACTATGCCTTGATCAGCAGTATTTTAAATTACCTAGCTTGCTATACTAGTCTATTCACATATATACGAGAAGCTTGGAAACGACGCCGCGCATTGAGATTGGCACGCCTGCCTTGACACACGCTGCAACCCCTTTTGATCGCGCGCGAAGCGCGCGCGGCCGGCTGGCTGGCCGGCTGGCCGGCGTGCACGAGAGGTATACAACGTGTAGCAACGCCTGCCAAATCACAAATCATATTTTAAAAGGGGAGTATTTTGTCATACGTTGTATGACCCGCCGCACACGAGTGCGCGGCTCCCCCTGTATCGTCAGGTTTAATTGACGATGTCAATTCATGGCAGCTTTGTAGCGCGATGCACTACTGGGTCGCGCGCGCATCAAATAATGCTTCTCGCGAGATGCACCACTGTGCCTCACCGAGCTGCGAAGGATTGACATCGTGAATCAAATGGCAGCTCGGCGCGGCACAGTAGCGCATCTCGCCGATCTAGCCAGAAGCCTTATCAAGTGCGCGGCGCGGCACAGTAACGCATCGCGCTACAAGATAAAGGTGAAACCAGAAACGCTAAAGTGAAACTTGGAGGACTTCGCTGCTTCGACGCGCCGCGCAAACTAGCATTCTTGCTTCGCATCGTCGTCGATCGTTGCTTTGCTTCGCAGAGCAACGATCTCGATGGATTGACATTGTCAATCAATAGTGAAACGACCGTGGGGTCACAACGCGATACGTTGACGTATGGTAACAGGTAAACAATGCTTTCCTTGGAGAGTTATATGGGCAATAAACCGTTTTGGTCTCGTGACAGGCTAGTAAAACATGATTTGAATTCGATTGTTTAGGGCTAGGGTTAGGGTTGTGGTTAGGGTTATGGATAGCTTCGAGGTTATAGTTAGGATTAGGGTTTCTGTAAAACCGGTATTTTGTTAACGGCCGGGTGATACTCGTAAAATTTTTGTTTCAAATGTAGGTTTATAACCTACCAGGACGCGCGCCGAGTAATATTTGAAACAAATATTTTACGAGTATCACCTGTTAAATTGTCGGCGAGTGTGCTCAGTGCTAAATCACTCTACACTCGATCTTTCAGATTTTTTTAAACAGTTGAAAGTAACTTGAATCGATGTATTTTCGAACGCTGATTCCGAATCACTGGATCACCCCACATGACATGACATAGGGTTAAAATGCTGCCCTAGTCTCTGTGTTCTGATCGATACCATAATTATTTTAGAGCATCCCAGCTATCTTTTGTTTGAGTAAGTTATGATAAGTGAAACAGTTTTCTTATTTATTCTGAAATTATAAGTTACAGTTTTAAGAGCAAAAGAAGATATCAGTAGAAGATAAAGAACGAACCGAATATATTGTTAAAGCTGAAAGTGAAATTGTAGCTTGATGCTGGCATCCAGGATATGTATACAATTTGATAGAGGCGAGGTTTTCAAAAATTGGAGCAAAGATAATATTATGGGCTTTCTAATAACCCGAACCATATAAACTTGTAAATCATATTCAATTTTTCATAAAATCCATTAATCATATCATTGATCGAATTCACCTTGCATCACAAGTTTATTTAAAGAAAAAAAATTAAAGGTTAAGTTTAATGTGCTGAGTCGTACCAATTGAAATTAATAATTACTAAAATCTAATCGTGAATTGGAGACTGTTGAAAGGAAAGTGACTAAGGCTATCCAAGTACTGCATAGTAACACTAATATAGTAACATGCAATTGTATCATCTTTTATCCATCTAATGAGTTACTAAGTTATATCTAGGACTCTTCAGAGCAGCAAAGGAGCGAAATCATCAGAATCAAAGTTAATTGCTAACACACTACTCGATAAGCACGAGCACTACGTAAGTAAGCGCAATGTGCATACCCGATTATAAACTATAATTCAATACGCATTATATATACATAGTGTTAAGGTTCTAGTGCAAAAAGAGGTGCTGTATGTACAATTCATTACAGATTATTCACATAGTAATAACTTAATTAAACAAAGTAAAATGACGTGATATGGCCGGTCGGGTTATTTAAAGTAAAATTTCTAAAATCTACAACTACACGCTTCCTTAGTGGTATAATACAATCATGTTCAAGGGTACATCAAATTTGAAGAAAAATTCAGAAGTTCCTAAATGATAAGGGGGACCTTGTTGTGGCTGACAGTCCCTGCCGAGAACATCGTTGCTGGTCGGAAGCTGGAGAAAAATATGAGTTACTGAGTTAGTTCACAAAAAACATCCGAAAATAACATTATTTTGTCGATGCAACTTGTGTTGACACCCTCATGAACTTATAAAGATCATAGTTGATGATTAGATCACAATCTAAAATAAAAAGCAAACACGTGGTTAGAAAAACTGTATGACACAAAAAACATGCTAAACATTGACCACTTAGCATGCTTGATTGAAGTGGTAGTAACTTTTTATAGACATCATCAATATGTCATTTTATTTGTGTTTGTGTAGAATCTGGATAGAATGATTCATAAAACAAAATACCGCAGAAGTTTCGTAAAATCAAAGGGCACCAAACTGTGCTTTTCGTAACAGTTCAAAAATAAAGTATATTAGAGTTCCAGAGCCAAAACAATCCGATCAAAGTTTGTGAAGTTTGTGATTAAATGGAAGCCCATCGTTTAGTAGTTGTATATATGAGATTGACTATGAGTGAGTTTTTCTGCGCTGTCTGACTCTACCCTGAAATGATCAATCGATTAATTAGTTGATCAAATGTGTAACAGCCAGACAGGACAGAAATTTGAATACAAGATTCTTCCAAATGGCATTTAGATTGTCAACTAACTCAATACTCATTTCTAATATGGATTTTCCAGTGTTAAAATTTAGGATGTCGCGACAAATTTTTCCAAATCGCCGAAAATGCAGAGTAAAATCATGGAGATGAAATGCCTGACTGTATTGTGAGAAATAATGAAGCCACATAAAGGAAGACGACAGCACAGCTCAACTGTATCAAACTTAAGACAGCCCTGCACAGTTTGTGTATCAAGTCTGTCACAGTTGCACAATTAAAAGTAATGAGGATGCAACACAAGTTAAAACTTAGCATTGATAATTGCAGAGTCATACTCATTAAAAGTTAATTTCATGCCTTCTCCAAACAAGGGTTTTTCGGAGTCTCAGGCACTGAGACTGGTCAATGTTCAGAGAGTTTGTCTTTACTGCAATGTCTTCCTCAAGAGCTTTCTTGTTTGACTCTAAGTTACGAAGCTTGGCGTTGCTTTCGTTGAGCTTAGACTGAAAAATTATTCAATATTGGCGTTTGACAATTGTAAATTATTACTTCAGAATACGAAAACTGTATATATTACATTTTGAATCAGTACATTTTGATATTTGTTAAACCGATGCCGATATATGATTTGTACCAAAAATGGATCCATTCCTTCTAAAAGCCCCTACAAGCCATGCTCAAAAATAATAAGTAGGAACTTTAACTTACACCCAGAGCTTCAATGGAGTCGGTGATTTGAGCCACTTCTTCAACAAGACCATATTGTACGGGGTCACGAACAAGCTCAATGTTGGGTCTGTAAGAACGGGTGTTGAGTCTCATGTGTGCAACTCTCATTGGGGATTCCTTCAGTCGTATAGCCTCCTTTAGAGCAGCAATATTCTCGTTCATTGAACCGATCTCCAGGCATGTCTGAAAAGTATGAAATATAAAAACGTGGTTTAAAACGCGCGCTCCGCTTCGCGCGCATAGTTGGTGAAGAAAATTCATGCTCTGATAGTCAAAAACGTATCGCTCCAGCTGTTTATATTTAGGCCACATTTAATAATGCCCAAGTTTTCCTATTATTATAGCCACGGCATGCTTATTCGATGCCAGCACCCTCGACAAAACCTTAGTTTTAAACATTAGCTTGCAAGAATCGTAAAAGATTTCACGTTATTTAATTCAATTGTACTAATTGTTAGTGGTTTTACTAGCAATGATTATTGGCTGCTATTGTCAATGCTTATCAAGCGACATGTTTAACTGCACTTTTGCAAAATTTAATAAGCAACTTGTTAAAATAATAGGTTGTTTATTTGAGCGCGTTTTACTGTGGTGTTTACTAAACAATTCGATGGATAAAATATTGCAGAGAAGCTAAGGGAGTCGTGATTGAGGAATTCATCACCAACGATAAGTTCTATAAATTTGCTATTGTCCTAACAGGACAGCACAGAATTGATGCATGTTTATTCATTCCTGAAATGTTTACGTCTTCGACATAAATAGTTTAGTTATTAAGCAACTATTCAAATGTTGCACCACTGCAAGCAAAAAGATTTGCAAGACGTTTAAGTAAATCATATGCACGAAGCATGAGTAGTAATTATGAATAATCCGCCCTTGGCCATAGTCGGAAACATTTCACATGATATATTAAAAGTTAGACAAACATCTCTTATAAACTAAAAGACAAACCTGATTGAGATTTTCCTCTAGGTTTGTCTTGGCAACGATCATCTCCTTTGTTCGGATTCGGAAAGACTCGTTGACGGTCTCAGCCTGCTTGTGCAGGTCGTTGGAAGTCTGGTGCATGGTGTGCTCGTTCAGCTCACGCTGACGGCACGAGGACACGCGCTGCTTCTCAGCGTTTGTGATGTTGTCGTGAGAGAAAGCTTCGTACGAAACTGGAGTAGCAGACCTGAGATATTTTGTGCACTATTTAGAATACTACTTAATATTTACGCCGACTAAAACATAAGAATTCACTATACTATCCAAAGGAGCCTTCTTGATTGGCGGTGAAATATACAATTTTAAACTTTTCCATTACTATATTTAGATTTGAAAGTTCCATATTGAAAAAACTAACTTAGGATCAATCTTGACAGAGTTGTTGTGGAGAGACATTCCAAGGGATCCGTTGCTTAGGCCAGCACATCGAGAGTCAAGACCATAAGAAGTGCACTTGTCCTTCAAGTCCATTTCCAGATTGCTCTTGCAGTGTCTCAGCTCACTGAAATTAAGTATAGATGATGGTTCACTGACATGGACATCTTGTCAGATGTGGAGATGTTTGGTTTACTTTCCCAGTTGTCAGGACACTTGTGTCTGAACTTCGTTAGAATACCTATTGAGAATTAAGAAGCGTAATTTTAGTCGATTACAGAGCGACTTGCTACTTTTAGGACAACATTATCCGCCGTAGAACATTCTCGACTGTTTGTCAAATCACGTTGCCAGGCAGCTGTACTTAAGCTCCTCTCAGTATAAGCTTACATCTTAAGATCGATCGCTCGATACACGAACGTCTCAATAACCACCCATTAACTAGATATAGAGGCCTAAAGTCTACAAACGATCGTTAATTGCTTAATCGACAAATCGCAGTCTGCAAAGCCTAGAATTGTTTTGTAGTGGTTCCGTTGCTAAGAAATAAACGGACAAATTGCCGGCATAACAACTAAATCGTTCACTTTATTAGGCACACGTCGTTGTTCATCCACTATAAATACCATAACGTTTCGTAAGCGTACTATAAATACCAGAACTTTTCTGAACGTATTCAAGAAACTAGCTGGGGTTTCTAACAACTGGGCAGTGGGCATATGACGTAAAGTTTATACCAAAAACACATTTGTAAAATGATATTCTCATCGCGTCTACCTCTGATTTGATTAAGTAAATAAGGTCTTTTAAGTTCTACAAATTCCTAGCCGCATTACGTCCCCTACTAAAGTAAGGTTCTGATACTGTTGAACTTTAGCGGCACTGGACATGATGTTAGGAAGAATCACATTTAATGGATCAGACCGGTGGTCGGTAAGGTGAACCTCCTCGGAAATGGCAGTCAATCACGTAATTCCATCTAAATCGAATCGTGTACACTTAATAAGATCAGAACGGGTGGTATTTGGAGACCACATTAATTGGTTGTCATAGAAATATGCAACACATTTGCAAGATGTATTGGGTATACCAAGTATCAGTGCTCAGCTTTTATCAATCAACAATGATCTTGATAATTGGTTGGATTATCATCACGCACTGAGGTATTTAAGAACAATGATCTAAGTCACAAAGCAAGGACGGAGTGACACTTACTAAGTTCAGCTAACAGATGGGTCATGGAACGCCGGGTCAGCGGATCGGGGCGCAATGTAGCGACTCAATGAGAACGAGTTGATAGCGATTATTTCCTGTCGTTTTTCAGTCATCGTCAGAAAAGTTTTAATACCCTCGTTACTCTACAGTTGATCTCACCTAAAACCTACCGTACACGACTTATTGTGAAAGCTTCACTTCAACTTTTACGAAATGGGAAAGTTTTTGTGAGTCCTCATCTTGTTGAATATGTCGATAAAAGACAAGGCCAATAGGGTGAAAACTACAAATCTTAGGACACATGTAATCATTTTGACGACACAGATTTCAACACTCATCTAACAAGGTTTTCACGAAGTTTTGACCAATCCTCAGTTAAAAACGTGCGAGATAACACCCGCGGCAAACCTTCATTTGATGACATGCACATCATACTACAGCAGTATGCATGCGATGAACAGTCAAGTCACCAATTGCTTACAACTTGAGACAAAACGACTAGAATAAGTTAATCAACTCAAAATATAAGACTTTCTATCTAGTTTAGTGACATTTTCAAACCTCAGTTGTCGGTCACTCTCCAGGATCCTCTGTTGAAGAAGCGCCTGAATGTTCTCGATCATCTCAACCTCCTGAAATAAAATAAAGTCGAGCACTTAGTTCAATTCATGTCCATTTCACTGCTGAATAAAATAGCCAGGTTCTTAAATATAAATAACATAAAGAGATGCGGCCCCGTAAAAGCTTGCTAAAGTACCGTAAAATGAATGACTTACATGTTGCGCGCTAAAAATCAATCACTTTATATCCACGTGAACATAGTGTTCGGTCTGATATGAATCATATCATTTGATATATCTGCATGCGTCACTAATATGAAGGAATTTGTATCACATGTAGTCGGTCAATTGATTAAAACGATGTGACGAACTCCTGCTGAAGGTGTACAGCAGAAAAGCTCTCAAACTCGTGGTATGTACGCAGGTCGGCTCTATAATGTCGTTTAGAAATGTGCATGTCGATGGTGGGGTAATTTTCTAAAATGCTTGTTTAATTAGGACACCTGGACTGCGCATTGTGCAAGCTCGCCTTCACAACTGCACTGTGTTCAGCGGCTCATGCTGCAGGCAACGTTCAACACTCATTTATCATCTCACACAGCACCGGGATAACATGGATTTTAACAAAACCCGATGTTAAGAAGTTCAGAAATGAAAAGCTTTGGAGTTGACAAAACTGTCAATTTAATCACAAGACTAAAGGATCTGTTTCAGTTTTAAAGCAAGGGCTGCAACCCCCCCCCCCCTCCTCAGGGGCTCGGGTCCCGTGTTTAGCTAGAATAAGGCTAAATTTAATTCAAATAAAAATCTGAACGTTCGCTTGACACATGGGTCGATGATTCTGAATATAAAGTTTACAGTTCGATCAATGTTGCTGCCTGAGTTTTCCATTTTTCTACAAGAGTATTCTGCTGATTAAAAAATAAAAATTGATTTGTAACATTTAAACAACGATCACGAGAAGTCAGCTGATAACAATCGCTTTCCTTCGAATTCGCAAGAATTGGCCAATATTAAACGCTTTGGATTCATGTTATAAAATTGGTCAGTAAATGCTTACTATCTTATCTTAAAATAACCCAGCATCTCACAAAATATTCTCATAAAATGAAAGGTGGCCATAACTATCTGTTGAGAGAACATAAAATATCATGAAATGAATTGGCCGGTGGTACATTTGCGTCCTGCACTAGAGGACCACATAATGGCAATCTTAAAATGATCGTGTATAGCATGGTGAATGAATGACATGACACTCTAATGATAATAGTCACGTGGACACATTGTCAGTAATATAGGTTATGCGAGCTCTTTGATTAAAATCACCCAGGTAAACGTTAAAATGCTTCTATTTCTAAGTGTGTTCAATTTAACCTATCAAAAACAAAAAATAAGTTAGAGTTCCTAAATTAAACAGTGGCATGGTATTCGAAGGGTGAATGAACGGTCAATGTGGATGACAGTTAAATGATTTATGAAGGAGCAACTTGATCGAAAACACTTGTAAAGATGATATATTTGATATAAATATTCTAAGTTTATAAAATGGAAAGGTGTTCCATTTACGTTCTATGAATCGAAAAGAGTTATGGGCTCATAAATTCCTACTGCAGAAACAACAATTTGATAGTATCAGTCTGTTTTATAGCCGAAAAATAAGACCATTACCATCATTGCTATCGTTACCATCACTCTTCAGCGATATATCAAATCGGCAATTTTTGTGGAATTTAGACATGAGAAGTATCCCACACTGAGAATCTACTCTAAATATTTTCCCAAAATTGAGAAAGCAACAGTTAATAATAGCATGTTACTCTGAGAGTCTATTTTTATTAACATTCTCATTACTGTGCTTATGAACAATATAATCTTGTCTTACAGACCTAGCACTAACTAATTTGATCAACCACCAAATGTACTTTTTGATTTATTATTGACAAACTTTTATTAAGTGAAACATCTGGATTATGACTTTACTTCAGTTACTATAAAGTGCTCAAAAATTATCATGATAAAACTGATAGCTTTTTAATCGATAGTATTTTCATTTTCAAAAGGTACTTAACAGAGTGGTCCCAGTATAGTGTTACATTGATTGCCTTTCCCATGCATTAGATTAAAATATATATTCTGTTATTATGATTGGAGCACTACAATTGACTTTAAATAGCAAAAATTGATTGTTTAAATTTGTACTTTTGACCAATGTAATCACAGATTTACAAGCAAGATCATCAATTATGCATATGAAATGCATGACAAAATACAGTAGTTTCTCAATTAGTGGCGAGATAAACATAGATAGCTACAGTTGGCTTCATTTTCAAGTAAAACCACTGGTACCCTGGCCCTGCCTAAGATCAAGAATTGGGGCAAGGATCATTCTAGCGTAAATGTTGCACAAAAATTGTGCCTACCCTCTTGGGAGAGCCACGGTCGGATATAACAAGGACTGAATTGGTATGGATATTAGTTCTTACATCAATTTGATGTCATTCATTCAAAATAATTGTAAGGGGTCGTTCACATATTACGTAAGGAGGAGGGGGTTTTCAAATGATTACCTTAGTGAAATTTTGACACAATAGCTATGTGTAAAACTGATTACGGAGGTGGGTTAAAAATTGTCCAAAAAGTGATTACGTAATATGTGAACTACCCTTAAAGACATAGATAATCTATAGAAAAACTTACCTTCAACAGTTGAACCTCTACGTCATCGTGGACCAAGTCAATAGATAATCTGCCTTCTCTGTGCTTGAGACAAGTCGTAGCCACCTCATGAGGAAGTTGGGTTGCCACGTGAGCCTGTTCAAGCTGTTTCTTGGAGGACATTAGATTAGCAATTTCTTGGTCGGTTTTCTGAAGCTGCCTGTCAACCTCCGTCTTCCAGTAGGTGATGTTATCGATTCGGTCCTGGAGCTTGACATTAATGTCATTCTGGGTCCTCCTGGTTCTATCAGCTGTCTCGCACCTTAGCCTCTCAGCTTCTAGACGTAGGTTGTTGGATGATGTCCTCTCAGTACTCGAGGTCAGGTACTGGTTGGCATTTGAACCTGTCCACTCATGAATGGTATACCTGGTAGCAGGTAATGCAACTCCATTTTGTGGCATACCGTAGCGGGTGTGCTCAGGAGTGTACTTTGTTGAAGGCACAGTGTAATTCATGGCTTGACTAGTCATACCTGACCTATCAAGGAGTAAAGAAGGTTATAAGTATATTAAAATTTATGTGGTGGTTTCATTTCTGACCGCACGACATTTATTAACATTCCTGACCACGTGCCGTGGCCGGTAATACGTTTTGAGGTTTAATATTTCGATTCTCCCTGGAATGAAATAGTCAATAGAAGAGGTTATTGGCTGTTGATTCATGAAAGATTGGAAGTAGCAAACGATGAAAACCTTGCGACTTTTTAACAAATCCAGATACTTGACAAAAGCGCTTTGTTCAATTGCCACCAAAGCTCTATTACAGATTAGTACGGCTAGTGATAATTACGAAAAAAGACCATGTGTATGGAGGGATCGATGATCAACTAAAAAATGAGATGCATAATCGAAATGAATGAGATTGAATTAAATGCTAAGTCAACGATTAACCTACGGCAAATTGACAAGGAGCCACGAATAAACAGATTGCTTTGAAGACCATCACCGTACTCGTTGTGGTAGCACACATGCTCTGGTAGCTATGGTTATGCGCGTACTATGAAAATCTTTTAATGCGTGCGGAGGAAAAGTATTTCATAATTATTGCGCGGCGCTGTTTATTTTTTTAAATTTGGGCGAGCGATTTATCATTTAGTGGAAGCGGTACATGGACCATGGTACTATATGATTAATAATACATGGTACCGCTGGGGATAATGTAGTAGTGTGAATGTTACATATTGTTTCGAATTTTATAAATTTTGCACCAAAAGTTGTTTGTAAACGTAAATAACATATTTCCATGCCAAAACAAAAATACTGCTTGGCGCTTGTAGGTTTATAACCTACCAGGACGCGCGCCGATTTATAACTCGTCGACGCGGTCCAATATATGGAACAGATATTTTACGAGTATCACCCGTTAAGTATGTTGTGGTTATATGTTAGTTTTAAACATTAAAAGAATAATGTTTTCAATTAAATGTTTGATCACCCGTACACATTCATTGCACATTGCATTAAATAAAATAGGTTTTGTATAAACATTTAAAATGTTTTGAAAAAGTTGTTTCTTCAAGACGGTCGTTCACATATAATGTATAAATTTTTTGGCAAATTATATATTTATATTACACATTAGTCTGATCGATCCAGACGTCATCACATTTTTACTGGTAAGATGTAATGAAAATATAAAATCTATCGCGTCGTAGTATAAGCTGCATCACATATACAATTACATTTCATGTTTCTGGTCTATCTTGATAGTAGAATGCCAGAATGGACACCTAACATGTGGTATGGCAACGTCGTGGTCAGTGGTAATAGGATTTGATGCAGCATACTTGAGCATATAATTATGATAAAAACTAATATGGTAATATATTTAATATTTATTCGGCTTTATATTGCTCTTAAACCGTGAGACATCACCGTTATATAGTATTACAGTCTACATAATATCATTGATTTATACATATATTCAGCTATCAATATTCTTGTCAAACATTTAGTACATAGTATAGACTCTGCAGACATAAAATGGTTTGAAAGCGATCATGGAGATCGGAGTGAAGTTGAGCTGGTGATCCTTAACCATATCCCCAGATTTTCCTTTTAAGTTAAGCTGCAATTTTCTCCGCTGGGTATTTAGCAATAATCAAACAGAAAATAATGGATATTCCTTCCAGTTTGTTGGGTAAACTTTCTTACTATTAATTGTACAATCGCATCAGATCGACTGATAAAGAAATCTACAAAGTTTCAAAATGTTAGTACGTGCGCTGAGAGACATTTTCTGTAGTAAAATGTTGTGCGGATTGTGCGCCTGGACAGCAGTTGATGAATTTGGAGCAATTGGATGAAGCGAAAGCTACTACATTTGTGGTGTTTATGCGAATTATCGTCCAAATGTAAATGGTTGAATCAATCGACACGAATTCAAAGATTTGAACTTTATTGCTTGGAGAACTTTTAATTGAGAAATAAAACAGGAAGTATCTTAACTAAGGAACGTATTATATATATGTCGATCAAGAAATAGCAAATATAAAAAGCCCTTAAAGGCAAACTTAACATTCTCGACAATGTTGCCGAAATGTTCAGTGTGGAGTACCACACTTATCTCTTAATCGATCATTACCAAAGGACTTGTGTTTCCAATGGGAATAGTCCAGCTGCATATCTTGCATTACAGCTTTCCTCATCAAATTGTCTTTATACATTCTTTTCGGCAATTTAAAATCAGATTCAGTCCCGTCTGCATATTCTAATTTATAGTCGTAAATCTTCAGACCTAATCTATCCCGTTTGCCAACGTCGATAACCTGAAATTCAAGCGGTGTCAGCTGAAGGAAATACCATGTATATATTGATCGTGTATATTAATATTTGATTAAGTCCACTCTAAATATTCGTATCGGATTTAAACAATCTCCTCTCACCTCTTAAAATTTCTGAACAAATTTAAAACCAATAAAGATTTAACAAATAAAACACGTTTGTAGTTCATAGAACAGTTGGCACATACCTTAGCAGGATTCCTATGTTTGTCCCCATCCACAAGCATCACAGCCAAAGGCATCCTCTTAAAAACACCATCGTATATTATAGTTGCCACAACGGGTGTGCAATCAAACTCGAACAATACCCGACCTAAAATGTAAAAGCAGATAATTAGCATACCACAAAAATCATGATGGCATTGAACGTCTGCTCATGCAGTAAGGTAATCTTAAGGTCTAAACCCATCTTACATTTAATACCCATCATTACTAAACGTAACTACTCCATTTTTGGCAAAGATACACTGGATACACTGGATACTGGATACACTGGATGGCAAACATTAATTAAAATATCTAAAAAGAACGAACCAGCCATGACATAATCTTTGTACTCGGCAACTTTGTTTTTGCCCCCACCCCTCCGAGTGTTGCTGGGTCGGAGAGATATCGGATAGTCTGGAAAGTACCGAACAAAGAGCCTGTGTTTCCCTCGCTCAATGTTGTGAGCTATAAACTCCTTTGAAGCCTGGAAGATAGATGTATAATATTGAGATGAGATTTTATAAAACTATGGGGAGATTAAATACCTTGAATATTTATAAAGTACTCTGTATACTTGCTCTATCTCTTAGTAAAAGTAGCGGGAGATTAAAACAAGTAATACTAATTTACCAACCTTGACAGCCTTGTGAGCTAAGGCCCCTGTTTCAAGAGACACAATTCCATATCTTGCAACTTGGACAGGTTCTATGATGAACTCCTCGGGCCACCGTGGTCTCAACAAATTGTCTCGTCGAGGCTGTTTTCTGTCTACTCCGCCAGAGACTTGGGGTTTGTCGTGCACTGGGGGAAATAGTAATCTTCAGAAACTGGGTCGTCATGAAAGATAAACATTATTGGAATCCGCTTGGATGACAACTAAAAAACAACTACCTGATGAGTCATGAGTCATGACTTCGGGAACAAAGCTTACGTTTGGAGCACTAGAAATGATAGCAATACAACCATTAAAAGCTAGAGTGGATTGAAATGTGCATTGGAATGTAATAAACATTATCTCACCAATAGTAACGCTAGTTATTTTCTCTTCTGGTTTTCTCAGTGGAAGATTAACGAGTCTTTGCTCAGAACTAATGTCAATAGTTTGGTCTGAAGGTTTGGTGTCCGGGTGGCGGTATCGGGTACAGATCAAGGTCTGACCTCCAATTAGAGTCTGTCGGGCTAATGTCCTCAGCAGCATAGCCGAACTGCTAGCGTTACAAATTTATCATGAGCTAAATAATGAATATGACAATAGTCAGGAAAGAAATCTTAAATCACGATTTAATATAATAACTGAGAATTTATACTTTTCAAAAGATAGATAAACGCAAATGATTTATGTTTTTGATAAACAGATAATAATTCTGAATTAAGACAACAGTGATAACTCGTAATGATAATAAAATGCAGTAAAAGTTTAAAATGTTAAGTTTCTAATTTAAATCACCAACTGTTAAACATTTTATCATGTCTAGAAAGAAATTTGATAAATCGCAAGTTCGGATTTATATAACTTGGATATTTTCTTTGCAACAGAATGGCTAGGGCTTTCACAACAACGAAATTGCAAAAACATTGTTCTTTTCGTCCCATCTATAGTTAGGATAAAGTTCAACCGGTGAAATCTTTACAAACCTTTCTCCAGCGGATTATAAAAAGTATCGAGTTATAAAGGCACCCTAAAAATAAATAAGCATCAGTCTCAATAAATAAGTCGTTAAAAAAGAGCTCCTTTCCAGACGAAAGCTGCAGGTGCGAAATTTATTTTTGTGAACTTTAAAAATCTATGTTATAAGAACTGTATTTTATCTGGCGTTGAAAACCATCATTCTGTTGGTTCTCTTCTTGTACATTATTCTGTGTCCACACTCCCTGCACCTGATGGGGTCACGTGACTTGATCTCATTGTCACTGCGACACTCGCCGCACACGTATATCATTGCTTTCTTGACTTGGGATCCAACACTAGCCGCCGCCGCATTCTGGACATTCTGATCGTGGATAGTGGGTGAGAGGCCACTTGGTGAAGCTCGAGCTGGAGGGGAGCCGACAGGGGAACCCGGACCACTGACAGTGGGAGAAAGAGAGCCACCAGCAGCCGGGGAAGTGGGTGGGGAGAAGAGAGGAGAGGAGGCGGGGGAGTTGCCCGACCTGGGGTCTGATACTATCGACATAGCTACAAGGGGATTAGGGTCAAACTTAGGGACATTTTATTTGATTTAGTTATGCAATAATAGATAATCATAAACATTAATCAAAATTGAAGGATCGTGAATTTCAGATATATAACGAAAAACACCTTGAAGTAAATCATTAATATTCGTTTTAAAATTAATTTTCAAATACGATATGATACTGAACTGTCAATTTTGTAGCAAAATATTAATTTAGTAATTATTCAAAGGTGGCTGTAACTTCCCCAACTTATAACGCCAGGCCAAGTTTATTGATAATCTCAATATATGTTTCATTATTGAAATTGATTGTGAAATTGGTTGGCTGTCCAAAATTAAATCATAAAACCCAACAATTTATGATGGAAAAAAGCGGTTGAGACGCTTCAAATGTTTCTCAATCGCAAAAATCGCTAGAAAAGTTGGCACCAGATAACAAGAATGATAAATCACGCGGAAGTTACTACAGTACTACTTACCATTAAATACAGCAGTTATAGTCGAAAGTTTATTTTGCCGTAACGCAGGGTAACGTGGTAACCTGGTAACGCAGGGTTCCTTTAAAACAATTATTCACAGCTCCTCAATTGTGGTGTGTGGAGAGTTTTGCCAACGAGTCTAGTTTCAGGATTCTCAACTCTAACGATTTATCTGCCTTTACAATGCCATCATCGTTATCAATGTTTATAAGCTGTCCGTAGTTGCCCCGCCTATTTCCAGTAATTATAACAACCTTGTCCTGTTTCTTTGGAACGACAGGTTTCATCTGATAAGACTGACATTCGAACTCCCGTTCCTCCTCGTACAGCCAGACAGTAGATATCATCCCGGACACTGCCCTGATGTAACCAGGCTGACCGATGTACTGACCGTCCTCAAAGCTGTCCAACATGACCACCTCGATACCAGGCAGAGGCCAATTCTCGTTAGCTGTCTGGGGTGTCATGGGGCTGGGTGCTCCGGAACTGGTGCTGTACGGACTGGGGACTGACTGCTCAGACCCGGGAGAGGGAGGACCTAAACTAGATGCACCAGGAGAAGGACTGGGTTCTGTGTAGGGGGAGGCGGGGGAAGCTGGAGACGGAACACTGGGACTGGAGGGGTTGTAATCTGAGGAGGTCCCTGGAGTGGCTGGGTTACCCAAACTATCCATAGCATACCCTGGGGTCATTGGTTCCCCATAGCCTGGGGTCTGAGGGTTTGCAGGACTGAAGGGAGCTGGAGAGGGTGAGTTGTCGTAGAAGTCAGTGTACTCATCTGACCGGGCTGGGGTGTTAGGATAGTTAGGATCCCAGGCACTGAACCCTCCTGCTCGGGGAGTGTTACCTCCATCATGAGTCGGAGTCTGAGCACCATAGTACGGAGTCCTGTCTCCTGACCCTCTTGTTGGAGTCTGACCTCCTCCGGACCCATACATAGGCGTCCTGCTACCTGAATGTGAGCCATACATTGGAGTTGCTGATCCAACTCCGCCGTAAGCTGGTGTTTTTGTAATGTAAGGTGTGGAGGGTGTAGTGAACCCTCCTGTAGCTGTTGTTACTTCTATCAAATGTCCCTTCTCCACTGAAATAACCTTACAGTCCGTGTGAAGTTCTATTCTGGCAGTTGTATCAGTTGAATCTCTCACGATACCCACATATCCTTTGTAGGCTCCCTGTTTAACTCTGACTGTCTTCCCAATGAACTCTCTGTCTCTCTTATCTCTTCCTCCTTGTCTAGCACCATGACTTGGTGTCCTCATTGGGGATCTCATGGGACTTCTCGAGGGCGAAGCCAGTCTGGGCGAGGCACCAGCAAGATCCGAGGGAAGTTTCTGAGCTCCTGCAAGAATGGTATTTCTCGCCTTAACGACGAAAATTCCGCCATTTTCACCGTGACACCTGTTGAAGAGGAAGAGAAAGTGTCTCCAGATGTGTTTTATTTCACCTTGAGAACCAGAATCCAGCACATTCACAATGTTCTTACTTCTCACGAAGTTCTGCTGTGAGTCCAGAGCTTGACCACATCTCAGCTTCCTGGCGATGGCATTGTTTCTCACTGACTGAGTCTTGCCGTGCTGAGTTAGGATTCGGACGGATTCCCTCTCAATCCTGACGATATATCCAATGGTTGTCTGATCTACCTCCACCACGTCCCCAATTTGGTACATACCCTGGCTGTCAACCCCCGAGTTCATCTCGGTACACAGCTGCATGTCTCTGGGTCTGACCTTCATCTCGGAGTATGTTGTGTCAGCCACGATCACCGCCACGTTGTCGTCTACTCGTACCACTAACCCTGTCTCACCTTCATATTTGCCGTGTATCACTCTCACGTGATCTCCATCCTTGAAGATCTTTCTTAGCTCTCGAGAAGGGAAATCGAGGGCTCCTGCATTCTTTAAATCTGCATGATTTGGGACAATCGTGACTTTGTCACCAGAAATACTGATGATGGTACCAGTCATGTGGATCAGCTCACCCTCGCAAACCTCAACAATGTCTCCAGCGGAAAATATCGAATCAGAGTTCAGCTTCTTATCGGTCGGTAGCAAGTCTGGATCTACGTTTTCGGGTAGTTCGTCGAACTTTTCTAGCTCTTCCAACGTTGGTTTTGGTCCGTCAATAGTTATACCAGTAAACGCTAGTGTTTTAAAGAGAAAACCATTCCTGTATCGACCGCTCTCGAAGATAATAAAATCTCCGTCTTTTTTCAGTTCGCCACCCAGAGATCTGACGAGGTCAGCATCAAACAACTTCTGAGCTGGACGCCCCTTGGCTGATCTGCCGGACCTAGACTGGACTGGTTCCCGGTCCTTGTACATGCTCTTGACTTTCTTGTAGTCAACACGAGGCAGCATCTTGCACACTACTTTGTTCTGATTGTGTTCTACGTAGTCTATTTGAGCTAGGTCGTCACGGTATACTCCTCGCTTTATTCTCACCCAGGAGTGGGTCTTGATAGCCATCGGCTCACTGACCACCTGAAAATGGAATTATTCAACTGTTAAAAGTTGAAGTTCTTACATGGCTATTAACATTGTCTTGGCCACGGTCTGATTTTCAAGCTGCGTTTACTAATTAATTGTGAGAAGTAACTGCAAATGAAATGACACTATAAAGTAAACTAGTAGATCGACCTGATAAAGCTTAATCTCACCTTTAAAACATCAGCCATCTCATTGATAGGAACCATAGGTTGCTGCCACTTTCCCATTCCGAGCGCATTGACCCCGGCTAAAGCTGCCTTGACGTGTGACTGTTTGAACGCCTCAATATAAATACACCCCCTCACTCCCACTGGAACTACAACTGATTTGATCTGCAGTGGATCGCCGTTCACTTCCAGGTTTATGTACTTCCTGAGCAGTTTTATTGCTGTTTGCTTCTCCTCGCCCATTCGGCACTTGACCTGCCACAATCTAGGATCTTTTACTCCCGGCAGTGCACTCTGTTGTTTTACTTCCTCGTTCTTGGCGTAGTTGCTGGTGTCGATGGCTTCCTCTGCGTCCACTTCAGCGTACTTCTTCCTGGGTTAAACGGTCAAATATAAACAATCACCTAAAAGCAGATCAACTAATTCAAGTTAAGAGCTTTCATTTGGGGCAGAAAATTTGTTACATAAGTTTTTGAAAGTTCAAATTTACAAAACTGAAATACACAAATTAGCACACACCTGTAATACTCTTCAAGTTTATCCTCTTCCTGCATTTGTAGGAGATGATCCAATCGTCTTTGATGACGGAACGATTCACTTGTTCCCTCCTCCTCGTCTTCATCTTTATTGATGAGCTGCTCGAAACCCTCTTCTAGGTCGTCATCATCGTCATCCTCTGCGTCATCATCAACCTCTGCTTCGTCCAAGATGAATTTGTTCACATTCGTCTTCTTCCTGAGGGAATGATTGGTTAACTGCAGAGCAAACCCGTATTTGCCAACAATATTTTCAACAATTTCTATGGATTTGAAACTTTACTCTGTAGAGAACATTCATTTAAGTTATCTTAATATTTAGTTCTTTCATTGTCATTTGTATATTCAGGCAGAAAGCAGAAGGTATAGGATTGCTATAGGTTCGTTAAATCTTATTATTTTAGCAAATAATCAATAATTTTAAGGGTGAAATAAACATTCCCATTTAACTCACTACACAGGTGTGCTAGATCTTATTTCTGAGTTCTAAATTTCAAATTTCTTACTTCTTTGATCTTGAGGCAGGCTCGTCCTCCAACTCATCGTCATCATCACTGAATTCATCATCAACATCTACATCAGAGTCGTCATCATCTGACTGAAGATCTGTGATAGGACGCTTCAAACTCATAACTAGCTGATTGTTAAATGTTATTGTCAAAAAGTAAGTGTAAGTTTACATAATCATTGACACACATTCGATAACAAGGTAGGTTTCTACTAAGACCGAGATATGATTCGATATTAGCACAGTATGTTGAATCACAGTATGTTAAACAGTTCAGTAAACTTTCTCTGGTATTGTCTAACCAGGCTGTTAAGAACATCCGGGTGATGTGTAGAGGGAATTTTGTATCACCAAATTTTGTATATATTAATGTGATTGTGTTCAGGCATTGCTCCAGCTCAAAATCTTTGGGTGGGTGCAGCGCAGCGCGCAGCCGAGTGTGAAGCCCCCTGGAAAATTTTGGAATTTTACCCTCCTAAACGTATTTCAATATCTCTCAAAACAGTCTCAATTGAGTAGATGTCAGAAGAAAGTAATCAAACAAATTAACAGATTAGACATAAGAATTTAGACAATAGACATAAGAAGACAATTGACCCGTAATTTATACAAAATTTGACAATTTTGGTGAACAATTTTCAAATCGTTTGGGTGGGTCCAAGTCCAAACTGAGTGGGTGCAACATCCTTTGGGGTGGGTGCGCAAAACAGTAATCATTCAGAGGAATCATTTGATTGCATGTCAGAGTGAGCAGTTGGTGCAATACAAGAAACAGTTAAATGGAAATGGGAACATAGCAATTGTCTACGGTTGTGGCAAAAACGATACTGCGAACAAATTTACATTTGCTGTGGGGGTTGGTAAGGCTCACCAGACTGATTCTAATTCGAACTTGTAGTGAGATGCGCTACTGTGCCGCGCCGAGCTGCGATGAACTGACATCGTCAATTAAATTCGAACCGTTGACATTACAGTAAAGCTAAACATTCGCACGAAGGGCCCTGCTGACGAAGGGCCCCGTTGACCCGATGTGCGGGGTGAGCGCCGTCTTAGGGGGCGCCAAATCGTCGTTTGAATGTGGGACAATTTCGAAAACTTAACTAATGTACTAGCAAAACTGCGCTTTTTGCTCTAGATACACACTTTTTTAGAGATTTTATCGGCATATCCTCTAAAATCACCTAATTTGTTCAACTTTAGGGAGGGGGCACGAAAAGGGGAGTGGGCGCCCCAACCAACAGGGGGGCGCTTTTTCGGCAGGGGCGCCAACAGGCAACGTTACGCCACTGAGTCGCATTTATATTCAGGGACTGTTTATGGGACGAAAAATCAAAATTGTGGTAGTGCTCTTTCACAAAGGCAGGGGCCTTTGAAATTGTTTCATGGTTGATTATTTTATGATTTAAGTGTTTTGAACCACAACACTGCTCAATAAATTAATAAATCAAGCTTGTTACTAAACTAACAACTTTACATGAAATGCATCTACAAATATATAGCAATCGGATAAGCCCACTAGCACAGTCGAACATACAAAAACTGAGGAATTATTCTATTAAATGGATGAGAATAATCATTAACTAATGACGCTCGATTTTGAATGACACGAATCACGAGTGAAATGAAAGCGCGAGGCTCAATCATAAATCTTTTATCTAATCCTTATATCGTGTTTTATTTTTGCGTACATTTTTATTTTGCTGACACATGAGTCATAAGTGAAGTCACAAGTAAATAAACCCAGCTGACAAACTGATGCAAGCTTAAAATTGTAGGTTTACAACCTACCAGGACGCGCGCCGGGTTGGACTCGTCGACGAACAGATATTTTACGAGTACCACCCGTTAAGCTTAAAATTGATTCAAAATAACTATAATATATAAAGCTAAAATGTTTGTAGCGCGATGCGTTACTGTGCCGCGCCGCGCACTCAATTATGCTTATTCTCGCAACGGCGAGATTTGACCATTGTTAATGATTTGGCCCGGCGCGCGCTACTTCGAAGAAATTTAGACGAGTAACATCCGTCAACGGCGAGATCTGCAAGATGCGCTACGGTGCCGCGCCAAGCTGCGATGAATTGACATCATCAATTAACTAAAATGTATGCAGTAGTAGTTCACTCAGTAGTTCACTCAATAGTTCACTCACTAGTAGTTGGCATGTGCTTACTTAGATTCACTATGTCAATCATTCGTATCTCGCCGATCTGCATACGTGGTTGTTGTATCACGTTGCGACCCCCACGGTCGTTTCACTATCGTCCTGACGATACAGGGGGAGCCGCGCACTTCGTGCGCGGCGGGTCATACAACGTGGTTGCGAGTTCAGAGTTAACGGGTGATACTCGTAAAATGTCTGTTCCATATATTGGACCGTCGACGAGTCCAACTCGGCGCGCGTCCTGGTAGGTTGTAAACCTACAAGTTGCGAGAAGCATTATTGGATGCGCGCAACAAGTGCTTACTGGGCCGCGCTCAGCCTGTCATTCGATCCGCCGAATCTCTGATCTATGATTATGAACATAAATGTATTAGCATGAGATCCCCAAGTAAGTCTATTGCTTGCTCCTCTCAGTCGCACGTTTGAAACTTGTCATACGTTGTATGACCCTCCGCGCACGAGTGAATTTGTAGCGCGATGCACTACTGGGCCGCGCCGCGCATATTCTTGCAACCACGTAGATCGGCAAAATACACCACTGGGCCTCCCGAGCTAGGAAGGATTCACATCGTGAATCAAAAGTGAATCAATGCCTGATTCGAGCAACGTGAAACAGGTATGGTATGCAGATGATGCAGCAGGTGGATTTTCTACAGCAACTACTAAATCATCCATCCATAAAAGTGATTTACAAAATTACACATAAACCTCGTGTCTCGGTGTTCACTTAAACGGTACTTGGCGGCTGAACTGTGTTTAACGTTTGCAGCTAAATTGGACTCTGATATTAGTAAATGTGTATGATTTTTTAAATATTGAACATACTCTGCAACCTGGTAGCGCGACTGACACAAAACCAAAAATGTTGGCCTGGCTTGTGCATAACCTAGTAAGTAACCCGCACTCCGATAAAAGCCGTCTGGAGAAACTCCGCAAAATGTTCATTGTAGTCAACGGGTACAAAGAAGCATTACTAGCAATTGTGTCCTTTACCGACCTACACAATTTGAACATTTTCGTGGCTAATTCATTGAACAACGTCAGATTTGAAATATAATGAAAGTGCTTTGAGGTAATTAGTGTGAATTGCATACAACTCAACCCCAAGAGGTGGAGGAGGAAACTACAGAAGGATGTCAAGAGGACGTGGGAATCATCATCATCCGTATAATCGACAAAAGAGTGCGTATACTGGATGCTATGCTTGTGGCGATAAAAACCATATTGCAAGATGGTGCACAAGCAAGAACAGAGCTTCTTCAAGTTCAACAGATAATGCACAGTATTTCGCACAAGATGGTGCTGAGAATGTTACGGCCATGGAAGCAGAGGGTGCATTTTTAACATTCATGGTGGTGTCTGAATCTGAAGATGTTGTTGAGATTCCTGAAGAGTGCCTGATGAGTGATACGAACCTTGGTTCTCTTGTATATGAGTCATTAGCATGTGCAGTTATTGATTCCGGATGTACAAAGACAGTTAGTGAAACAAATTTTAGTGAAACAAATTTAAAATTTTATCCTTTATTTTACAATCATAATATAATAATATTTATAAGCCTCCGTTTTGAAAGTTTTAAATTTTAATATATTCACATTTATATTTAAAATCCAATTTAATGTATAAGTCAATAACTGGCCGCCAAAGCCGCGCATTCTTGAAAACAGGATTAAATTGTTTATGATTATACAACAAATAGAAATAAATTTAAACTATCCGTGGTTTTTCTAAATTAATTATAATCTTACCTAAATCCAAAGCCAGCTTTGTAAAATTTACTATCAGATCATAATATATCGTCAATTCTCAATATTTACAATGCAACATTTCATTAATCTACATACAAGCGTACTCCAGCCCCTGCACGCATCCGTTCTTATGCCATGCGGCGCGGCTCAAGCCGCGCACGCACGTATTATTTTATACTTTTTGCTTTCTAATAAAGCAAAAAGTATAAAATAATAAATAATAATAGTTGTTGGTAGGAACTGGGTGAATCACTACAGAGAAACTCTGGAAGAAAAACAACTGAAAATGATGGTTAGTGAACCTTGCTCGATGCCTTTTAGATTTGGGGATGGACTCTAAGTCATTTCCACAGAAAAGACTATCATCCCTGGGCGAATAGGAAAGACAGATGTTCGGATAGAAGCAAACATTGTTAAGAAAGAACTGCCGTTGCTTCTCAGTAAAGCATCGTTAAAGAGAGCTGGTGCTGTGTTGGATTTCACAAATGATACAATGAGATTCAGTGGAGATTGTGTTGATTTGTTTGAAACTAAATCAAAGCACTATTGCGTTCCTCTTTGTAATAAAAGACGCATGACCATTGGGCCGCCAGATCGAAAGACCCCACATCTGGTGATGACAATCAGCGAAGAAGGTTTGTTTGGTACTGACGAAAAGGAGATTAGGAGGAAAGTGGAAAAAATCCACAAACAATTCTCACACCCTCCTAGTGATAAACTGAAAACATTGCTGAAAACTGCAGGATTTAAGAGACCAGAATACATGAAAGCAATTGATGAGGTATCCAGCAGTTGTAAAATATGTCTGATGTACAAGAAACCCAAGTCAAGACCAGTGGTGGGTCTCCCAAGAGGAAAGGTGTTCAACGAATGTGTTGCAATGGACCTTAAGAATGTTCCTGGCACTCCTAATGTGTATATCTTGCATATGATTGATTCGGTGACAAGATATTCAGCAGCTAGAATAATCTACAATAAGAAGAAAGAGACAATCATCCAAGGGATTTGCTCTGGATGGATATCCATCTTTGGAAATCCAAAGAAATTCATGGCTGATAATGGTGGAGAGTTCGCCAATGAGGAGTTTACTGAGATGTGTCAAAGATTCAATGTGGATGTGCAAAATTCAGCTGCCGAGAGCCCTTGGAGCAATGGGATTGTAGAACGTCATCATAAGATGCTGACAGAGATGATGGTAAAAACGAAGGAAGATTCAAAATGCAACTGGG